TAAGAATAACTGGATAGGGTATTACTAGCTTACAGCTGTCCCACCTATGGGCACAGGGGGTGCCCGTGGTACTGCAGACTAAATTCATGAGGGCTACCCAGAAAAAAGTCCCATAGAACTCAATGTAAACTAAAACAGCTCGACCTCAGCTGACAGAGAGCCTACGGCTTTCATAAAGATCGGATTTTGTGGGGATTTTAGTGTCTCTTGTCATCCTGAACTTTTTTTCTTCTTAAATCCTTCGGTTTTCTTTAAATCCACACTTTACTGCCAAAAACTCTGCTCCCTGCCTTCCCGCTCTGACACCGCTCTTCCGCTGCTCTGATGAGCAGCTCTGATTGGTCAGAGCGCGGCCGAGCCCCTCTGTGTGCGTGCATGAAAGCCACACACGCACGTTTGCGTGATATCTCCCATAATGCGTTGCGCTTATCCACTGCGCAGAATCTGGAGGACCAGACAATGCCCAAATAAAGGCGAGTTCAGCTAATCTCCCGGTCTCCATGAAGTCCCATGCGCTACTGAGCACAAGCCATTCATTTGAATAGGGCGCCATCTAGGATCACCGGGGCTTGTATCTGAAGCAGAATATATGGTGAAACAAGTGTGTATGATGGGTACATACAGTAAACAAACACCTTTCCACCTGTAACCCCTTCTGCTACCACCAGAGGGAGGAATTGATATTGTTGTATAAAGAACTTAATTTCACAATCGAAATTAACTATTCATTTATGGGCAATCATTTAGTTTTGGAAGTCTGGAGCTTTCAGGGGTGAGACCGAATGTGATCTGTGCCAAAAAAATGAGAAGGGAGCAAGTTTGTGGAAGTTCAGGCTTAGTTTGTACTTACATTTGTCATAAAAAAATTGCGGAAAGTTTTATGAATTTAAGGACATCTATGGACTGTGGGCGTCCCACTCTCTATGAACCAATGGCTCCTATGTGTTTGTTATTATTGCTATTCTTGTATTGGAACAGTTTCAATCTCTGATGTGTTGCTGGTGAATCTACAACCTTGTCAAGTTCTCACTGTTGTGATTTAGGGCTATACAAAGCAGGCGCGAGACACACCTATTTAGATTAACTTTTAGCTCAGTTGGTAGAGCATTGGCCTTTGGGCCTGAAGGTCGTGGGTTCGAGCCCCCCAGGGGACCTACTCCAACTGCTCCCACAAATGTCCTTGGGCAAGACACTTCACCCAATGTTGCTTGAAGCCCCCGCTGAAAGAACAAGGCTGCATCAAGAAGCCATCTTCCCGTGGACCCACCACCTGCAGGAGGATCAGCAAGGGACAGGTGCTATGAACATTGGGTGGCAGCTCTGATTGCCAACCCCCCAAACCAGAGATGGACTAATAAAGGGGTTGAAAATGAACAAATGAACAAACTTTCTATTTTAAACTATATCGTGCAGTCCTCACATTTCAAGTTTTTACATTTCATAGTTTGTTTTAGTATCCCCAATGTTTCCTCTGGAGGAGCCCTCTACACTGGGAGCTGAGGTTGGCTGTGGCTGTGGGGGTCTGGCTCATGGAGCTGGTGGAGGTCTGGAGCCTCCTCTCTTCTCTGGGTCCTGTGTTGTCCCCTGTGACTGCGGGCGGCTCTCTGCTCCTGGTGCATATGGCTCCTTGGATGACGCTTCTTCGGCTGGTTACATCTGTACCAGACCTATCTTTTCTTTCTTCCACCTATTTTATTCTATCTAAAGTGACTGTATATGTGTGTGTGCGAGCAAGCTTGCGTGTGCATATGTGTGTGTGGGTGTGTGCGTGTGTGTGCTTAATAATACAGCAGGATTCACACTTTGAACCAGAGCTAAAGTCAAAGCTTCTGAAGGTCATGATATATTTATTTACATGTAACGTGGGTATTAAAGCAGATTACCAGTGTCTGTGCGAGTCAGTGTGCAGGATTATGCCATGGCCTCTCCTGTGTTCATTTGTGGTATTGTTTTATTAGGATTAGAAACTCTTTCATTGATTATGTTAGGATTAGGACCCTCACACATGCTCTGCAGAGGTGCATATGTGAGAGGGAGGCTTTATATAACCACAGAGGAAAGTGGAACATCATCCCCCAAGGCCAGGTTTAAAATGTTGTGTGACCCACGGTTGATACTGATGCTAGTACAGATTTCTATCATAACTTTTCAAAAATCCTTACTTCAACTTTTTACAGTACTGTGAATCATGTTTGTATCTTGTGTATGTTTGAAATAAATAAACAAATGAATGAAAAATAATGATATAGGCTTTTGCGGAAGGTTGGGTGCAAACAACTCTTTGAATTGGGCCAACAATGACAATTCTAGAGAGTGGTATATTTGGACACTTGGTAATACCTGGTTCAAGAGATAAGATGTGCAATACAGAAAGTCCTGTTTTGTAACTGTTGGAGCGTTGAAATCTATTTGATTTAGTACTTTGGGAAGCAACATTTTTCACGGATTTCCACAACATAGAGCCACATCTATCCTATAATTTAGACCCACCCTCAAGTCTTGATACGGTTCTAGTAAAGCTGACACACCCAACCACTAAAAAATGGAATTATATAATAAAATCCATATAACTAGTTCTCAAAACAAATCTGTAGTTTTCGCATTCATGTATTTTTGGCCTCTGTCACATCTTTAGATCAGCTTTTCAGACAGAAAAGTGATAAAGAGAGGATCGCCCTCACTCAGCCGAAGAGCTCTCAGCCAAAAGAGACAAACAGAGACTCACAGGGCTCTTTCTTTCAAGTATACACAAGATTTACTTTTACTTTCAAGATTTACTGAAATTTCCCCATTGTGGGACGAATAAAGGACCTTCTTCTTCTTCTTATTTTCTTAAAAGATGAAGACATGTTGTGGTCTTATTTGACTTTTACTAGACTATATCTGTCTTACATTATCCATTTCCAGACATCTTCCTCTGTGACTTTCATCTGGTGGTTAACAAATTACCCAGCAGACTTTAGATCTCTGAAAACAATAGAAAAGGTTGACCGTGCTTGGTTTTATTCCACATGATCAGAGGCAGAGGGTAAACACAGTGATCAGTGCCTCCACACAGAAACAGGTTTACAACAGTAGATCAAATAAAAGTTCTCTTAAAGGGCTCTTTTATCATAGAGTATGAAGCTGGTACAAAAGAGCCAAACTAGTAGAACTAGCAGGGGTATAATGAAGCAGGGACGACAAACTTTTACATACAAAATCCTGCTGCAATCAAATGAAATACAGCAGTAAACGTGCAAGTCTTTCTATTATTATAAGTAAGACAACTGTGACTGTGTGAATCAGAAACTGCATAGATGTGTGTTGTGTTGTGTGCAGAATAGGGCCGATTATGAGCAGTGCGCCCTCTGTAGACTATAGAGCACTCTGTGTGTGTGTGTGTGTGTGTGTGTGTGTGTGTGTGTGTGTGTGTGTGTGTGTGTGTGTGTGTGTGTGTGTGTGTGTGTGTGTGTGTGTGTGTGTGTGTGTGTGTGTGTGTGTGTGTGTGTGTGTGTGTGTGTGTGTGTGTGTGTGTGTGTGTGTGTGTGTGTGTGTGTTAATCCAGCACATATGTGACCGGAGCCCTGCTGTTTCCACATACAACCTGTGCATTTATAATCTGCTTTCCACAGAAGGAACATCAGGAGAGGCATATAGTGCAAACAATGTGACTTAAATTACAGGATAGTGGAACGTGTGTGTGTATGTATGTGTGTGTGCGTGCGTGCGTATGTGTGTCCATATGGATATGTGTGTAGGTGGGTGCGTGTCTGTGTGTGTCTTTGTGTGTACCCTTGCACATGTGGGTGTATTTTGCAAAAGAACCACTACAGCACGTTTTATATAATCTCTTCCTATAGGCTGCTTTGTAGATATATATTTTCATTTGTGCCAAAACGTCTTAAAAATTGCAATCAAACTAGGGCTGGCTGATCTGTGTGAAAACAAGAATGAATATGGTTTTTGGTTGGTATGGTTATATCTTAATTAGAAAAAAAGAAAAATATTGTACATTTTAGGGACAATTCAACTTTCTTTGAACTTCATATAATTTAATTCGATTAATTTATGTAGATTTCTGAATTACAGCAAAATATTATTTATATTCCTTTAAGTAATTCCATTCCTGACTGAAAAAAATGCTAATGTGTTTAAATACTACATAATAGATTTCTAAAAGGTGCGTTTATCTTGACAGTTTGATTTCCGTATTGTTCTCAGCTCAGCCAATCAGAGAGCCTCCTTCATGTCACCTTGTCCTGGTGTGTTTTCCGGATCAAAACAGATGCTGAGGTCAACGTTCGCACCACAATCTGCATGTTTTTAATCAAACACAAATACAATAATGTCAGACTCCCTCCAGAGAGCACTGCATAATGATGTCCTTCCACATCCTCCCTGTGCGCTGTGGCCATGCACTGTTATTGCAAATATGATCTTGGAAAAGATTAGATTTTGGATCCAGACTTTTAGAAAACACCCATTTCCACTCATGTTGTTGATTAGAACGGCTTTTGTCACAGCAGACATGTTGTAAAACAGCTCTTTTGTTTAAAGACACAGTAGACTTTTTACAATAATTCATTTGAAGATTTATTAATGTACAACTATAAAGCATATTTTATACAGCTGCCATTCCACCAAAATAAAACCAAGAAAAACCTATATATAATTTTTTTTCATTGAATTTGACTGTTTTATTGTCTGCAAAAACAAAAAAATGAACAATTTCAAAGTTGATCTATAGTACCATATAGTATCATACCAGTAATACTACAGTAACCCCATTTATGTCAATATAAATATTGTCATCACTCATTAGCGTGTTATTATTTGAGTATTTTAAAGATAAAGAGTACTACATCTTTATCTTTAACAGTAAAATCTAGTTTAGTCCGTGTTGCCGTGAGTGAAGTGTGTCCAATTAAAAGTGCAGTGTGCTGGAATGGCCCTTGGGCTTTTTGGTCGTCACTTTGTCATCTCCACCACCGCCGCCACTGATCAACCTGCGTCACTTTTCATCTCTGCAGACCCTCCTGCTGCCCACCCCCCATCCCCAAACCCACCGCCGCTAAAACAATAGAACCACACCAGCGCAGACACTTGACAGCCACGCTCCTAATCCGCTCAAATGGGTGGATGGTGGCGATGGGGGGGTCTGCAGTTTTTTGAGGTGGGGGTGGAGTAATAAGTAGGCCATGATGGTGTGTCAGGTAAAGTTTGGGTGGCGAGCTAGCCAGATGTGTCAGACAGACTAAACATCTATAGATCTGTTGGGAACACGGGGGAAAAGTCGGCAAACAAAGTCTGGGCCCCAATGGTCGCACAAATACAACAGAAACCATCCTTTTTCTTGCAGTTTATCTGGGGCCAGATCGCAGAGGCAGCAGTATAAGCAGCTGTTTCACAAACTTCCCAATCCATGCATTGTGGAGGTTTTAATTCATATCTGTTCTTTATTTACTTGTAAATGTATTTTACCTAATCTATATTCTTTATTTTTTTTATTTTAGGCATACTCGATTATTTAAGATAAGAGAAAAAATGTTTTTTCTCAATTTCATTGTTGCAGCACACATAGGCAGTAGTGAAAACACATGGGAGCACACACAATATACAATAAGTAGCTGCTATGTTTCATAGCTTGCTGCAAATGCTTCAATAAAAATATATCTATCTATCTATATATGTATAGTGTAAATTTCTATACATATCTGGGAGGGTAGTAAGTATAAAGTGGCATTAAGTGGATATTCTGAAGTTGCAGTATTGCACATTGCACATGATTGCTGTATTTACTATTTTATATAAGATGACATGTGCGAGCTCAGCAGTATAGTGCTATAATCCTGTACTCTTTCTTTTTATTCTATTGTTTTAGTATCCTCAGTGTTTCCTCTGGCACAGAAGAAACACCGAGGATGCACAGCCCTGCGGAAACACAGCCCCAGATGTGGCGGTCTGAACCTGGAGGATCTCTCCTCTGGGTTATGTGTCGTCCAGTGCAGGGACGTGCAGTCAGGGGAGGCAGGGGAGGCAGAGCCTCACCTGCCATTATTGGAAACTAATAATTATTTTAGTTTAAATATATAATTTATATCCACTGTCCTATGCTTTTAATGTATATTCGGCACGGTTCCCATCAGTTTTGATCATTTCTGAAGTCAAAATCGCCGAAATCCGGTTATTCCTATTCAAAGAGACGAGGTGAGGCAGCGCTCCTGCGTGCCTCACCCCAGACCGCTCCCTCACAGTGTGTGTGTGTGTGTCTGAGTGCACTCAGCTCGTGCAGTTGATATATCACCGTTTGTTTCAAATATCCTGCTTTAAAAACATTTTTTAAACTCCTCTTAGTGTTTAGTAGTGTATTGCACGTATGTGTGTACAATTTATATTTAGTTTAAGTCTTTTGATCGTAGATGAACACACAAGGAAAAAGCTTGGCGTGAGGCAGGCGGTATCTGTGCCTCACCGCTAGGGGTGATAGTGAGCATAAAGTTCATACCAGAGTTGCTAACAAACAATCAGCCCAAAATGCTATTTCTTTTGCTGGAAAATGGATGATTTGAATGAAGATTTTTTTTCTCAATTGGACTTTCAAACAAAGAAAGAATTAATATAGACTGGGAGACCACCACTGGACTTACGAGGTTAGTCCGGCTGCGGGGGAGGAGTTTGTTAATCTGTGTTTTATGTTGAACATTGACAGATACCGGCAAAGTAGTGCTTTTCCGAAAAACACTGATTCAAACACTGCTCAAGAGTTCTGCAACTTGTTTAAATTATTGTTTATGTTCCTCGCGTCTCTCTCTCCTCGCGTCTCTCTCTGCTCCTCGCGTCTCCGTCTCTCTGCTCCTCTCTGTCTCTCTCTGCTCCTCTCTCCTCGCGTCTCTCTCTCCTCGCGTCTCTCTCTCCTCGCGTCTCTCGCACCTGCGCTTCTTAAAGATGTTGTTTGATGCGGAGCAGAGTCAGCAGCTAGATTTGTTGTGAGATTATTAAAAGAAGCTGGTTCTCTTATCTTTACAGTATATAAAGTTTGTGGATGTCATTGCATTGGTGATTAAATGCTATTTTATTTGAATAATGATTGTAAATCTGACTTTTAAAGTCAGTGCCTCCCCAATCACAAACCTCACCGCACGTCCCTGGTCCAGTGTGACTGCAGTCGGCTCTCTACTCCCGGTGCAGACAGCTCCTCAGATGGCGCCGCTCCTCATCTGGTTACACCCGCACTCAGCCTTGTCTCTTCCATTGTTTTAATCTCTATTATTGTATTTATATATTTGTTTATCGAATGGCACAGTGTATTAATGAACAGCAGTAAATACACCAGAGTATAGCTTTGTGATTAACTTCCCAGTGTGTGTGTTTGTGTGTTACACTGTTGGGATGGGTCTAGGAGGTGGTTGGGTCTAGGTGGTTGGGTCAACAAGTCAATGGATGTTGTTTTTAAAATATGCGTTGTAATATTTCTATGAAAAGGAGCTCAACAAATAAAGATTGGTTAATTTAAATACAACACATCATCTGAGACTGAAAATACTGTCTGGAAATGCATACAAGTCAATACAAGAGTAAATAATGAAGAAACTATTCAGAAATCACAGTACAGCTTCCAGACTCCATTAAATTCCATCTTACATGAATCCGGCGGTGGTTAACAAATTGACGTGGAGTGTAATTAGCCTGTTGCTAATTGTCTCGGTGAAAGTGCTGCCCATGTCATTACAAGCCACTTCAGCCACGCCGATCAATTATTTCTACTGCTACATTATTAATATCCCGCTAATCGCCCACACGGCAAAGCACATTAGCATCCACGCCCGCTACTTTATTCATCACGCTACGCTAGCCGTGTTCATCTGTCATCGGGGTTTTTCAAAACGGCTAAAAACGTAAACATACAGGAGCGGAAGAGCCCTGACCGATCAATTATTCACCAGCATTTTGCCTTTGAAACCGCGGATGACACGTGAGCCGCTAATGCTAACACCAGGGGGTCCGATCCCCAGTGGGGCGCCAGGTTGAGAGTAGCTTTGAGCGTGTCATGGAGAATCAGAAGCGACCTTTTTAGTGCTGGCGCGTGGATAATGCAGCTAAAGGTGAAGTGATAGCATGTGTCTCAGAAGAGGAGAGAGGGATGGAGCTGGAGTAGAGTGGGGGGGGAGGAGATGGAGATTATTATAATGGCGACAGTACGTAATATTGAAGGAAGATGAGAGCACAAGGACTTTGAAGGGGCACTTGATCGTGACACACAGACTACCGACTGAGGCCTGTAGTCATTATTCTAATGTGTTGGATAAGACCTTTCAGTGGTTGGCAACCTTTTGTTCTTCTACGAATCAGTGACATACTACACATGTCACCTGTGTTCTGCACTTACTCCTATACACTATATATAGTGCTAAGAACCTCGCAATGCATTGCACAAATGTATCTAAACTTATTGTTGTGATAAAACAAATATTTCTCAAAACCAGTGTTACTGGTTACGCAAGTTTACTGAGTCAATGATTTGATTTTGTAGAACAATATGCACAGGAATTATGCTGCAAACATGTACAGTAGCAGGGCTGGACTGGCCATCGGGCGTACCGGGCAATGCCAGAAGGGCCGATGCCCATATTTGGGCCGGTGTGTTTGCCTCATACAAAAAAATTTTTTGTGAAAAGTGTAAATCCATTGAGAACTGTTCGAGGGGGCTCGCGTGTCCGCGGGGCACCTGCTGTATGTACTTGAACGGAATTCCACCACCTCAGCGGCGTGGTGAGGTGCTGGACGTGAAGGATCCTTTCATACAAAATCCGGAGCACCTTTTTCAGACTTCAAAAACCTCCGCAAAGACTGTGAAAGAAAAGGCCATTAAGGACATTAATTCAGCTCCAGCAAACTTCAGCCTGTGACGTGATCTATATGAACATACAGTGATGCAGGTGAACTCTGAGCCAAAAAGCAGATTTATTTACTGTATTTCTAAAGTTGCATGAAGGCAAAAAAATGGAAGTCAAAGTTAAAGCAGAGTCGTCACGTGGTGCGTCATTCTCTCCAGGACACGCTGCAGTGAAAACACACATTTGATAATCATGAATGCTTTTTACTGTATGTATTTGTAGCCTTTACTTGGTCATTTAGATACTAGGCTAATATAGCTACATTGTGTAACCTTCATATAAGCTTTTTACAAGGCTGTTATTTTTTTGCGGCTCCAGACAGATGTTTTTAGTTTTTTTTGTCAAATATGGCTCTTTGAACCTTTTGAGTTGCCGATCCCTGGTATAAACAAACTGTAAAAAAAGTAACAAAAACGTGCCTGGGCCGGTAAGAAGGAAAAAATGCCCGAGCCGTTTTTTTGTCCCAGTCCAGCCCTGTACAGTAGTTACATCTGCCAATGTATACAAAAGTGTATATTTCTTGCATTAGAACAGTGTTTTTCAACCAGGGCACCAAGGGAAATCAGTGTGCCTTGAGACGTGGTTTGGTGTGCCTTTGGAAATTACCCAATATCACCTTATTGGTAAAAATATGGGAAAAGAAAATCATGTGAGGAGATTAGACAGACATTTTTGCTCTTGTCTCTATATAACACACCTTCCTGAGAATGCCTTTATTAAGGTTTAAACAGGTTGAGGAACACTGCACTAGAGGATGCTGTATTTTATTGTTGCTTCTGAAGATAGAGATTTTATCTTATTTTATTGTGTGTGCTGTGCTCCTCATTCCTTCTGTTCTTTAACTTGTAATGCAACACGGACATTTCCCCACTTTGAGACGAATAATGGACCTCTTTAAACTTAAATACATTCTTTCAATGCTTAATATCATAATAACATCATTGCTCACTTTCCACATCCCGAGAAGTTTCAGTCAGGTCAAAAGGTACGTAGGTTTAGATAGATTTCTTCATTCCGTCCATGTCTGCACGTTTGATTGCTGAATGTGTGTGTGTTTGTGTGTGTGTGTGTGTGTGTGTGCGTGCGTGCGTGTGAGGTTACATAGTGGCACTCTCTGTCAGCCTGTGTCTGCAGAGTCAGACCTCAGTGGATGTGGAGCCTCTGCAGCTGTCTCCTCCTGTCTCCCCACAGATGTCCCTGTGATCTCAGAGTTCATAGTGAACATCGCTGCCCCCATGAGGAAAGGAGGGACATCAGCTGCTGCGGACGGACCCCAGTCACATCAGGTTGGTTACAATTGCATGGTTTCATTAACAGTTTTCAACATGTTTTCAATGTCTTTCCTCAAAGGTTGTAATTAAGGATACACCGATCTAGCTATTTTCAATATCTGCAGATGCCCAAGTGAAGAGACTGAAAATAGCCCCCACAAATCAGAGCTCACCTAAATTCAACATGTGTTTTCACCAGGGTGTGTTTGTTGGCGTGTCTGTTAGCAGGATAACTGAAACCTCACCATTTGGATCCAGGATTATTTATAAAGGAATGAACTGTGCAACATGCTTTTCTAGTGAACATATATTGTCTCGCATGGCGCCGGAAAAATGGCGCTGTGGCATGAGCTTCGGTGTGTGCTGCCTGGTGCATCTGGGGTAGTCTTGCGCAGTTTTTCCAATGTGGTTTTACTGCAAATGGCAAATAAATGAATTGTTTCTTGTTCTAAAACAAAAAGTAATGATGCTCAAGTTTATGTGTAAGCTCTTGATCCTGTGGACGCACTTGACTTACCGAGGAGGAAGTGTGTGAACTGAACTCCCTTCAATTCTCTCCGGACACAACCACATCTGATCCTGATCTGAAGTGCCCCTGTCGCCAGAGCGAGGAAACAGCTGTTCCACCATGGCAACCCCCCCCATGTCTCCCACAATCCATCAGTGCTCGGGCACCGGGCCGGGCAGAGACAGGGGCAAGATGGCGGCCGACACGCAGCTGGGAGCTTCATGCTGAGAAGAGGAAGGACGAGCTAACGTGCATCCGCTGTGGCATTTGTGGCATGGACATGAGGCGCTATGGTGCGTTTGAATAAGGTCATATCAGACACACTGAGGGGAAAACACATTATTTGGTTGATTTGGTGTCAGGCAAAGGGGGAGCTGAGGCGTGGGCTACAGATGTGTCGTCTTACTGGTCCCAGTCTAATGTTATGAGCTGTTTTCCAATGTATTTGATTTGGTAAAGGTCATTTTCTCCACGGTTTGCACAAAGATCCCAGCACAGGACAGATTGAAAAACCTTTTGGGTATTTTTTCACTCGATGTTACAGTACTTTGCTCTATTGGTTTTCCCCATATAAAATGATGTCCTCTTAATTTGAGCCATGTCTCAATGACTTTGAAACTATTGGTAAAGACTTGCTGGAAGAGAAGTATTCATGTTGTATGTTTTGAGTACGTTTTTTGAACTAATTCCCTAAGTCTCTTGACTCTAGTGCTCAATCTTTATAATGAAGGAGTTGAGGTTTGAGTGACCAGGGCATGGATGTATTATAATATCTGGATCGGGTATTGCTAGCTTAAGCCGGTCTTCAGCATGTTGACGGATGACTATGGAGATTTGCCATTGACCTCAATGGTAACTAAAAAGGTTCATACTAAGCTGACAGGGAACCTGCAGCTTCCTCAAAGGTCAGATATTGTAGAGATTTTAGTCTCCTAATAATCCATCTGTTTTCTACAAATCCACTCTTTAGTGCAACAACCTCTGCTCATTCTCATCCTGCTCGAGCTCTGCTCTGATCTACTCGCTGATTGGTCAGAACACTCAGATGTTGCTTTGTGCTCAAACCTGTTACGCTGCTCTGGGGGAAGTAGAACACAGCACGTTCTGCGCAAGAATACGAGAGTTGACCAAAAATGCTTCACTTTTGCTAATATTTAGGCCTCCATGGTGTGAGATTGCGCTACTGAGCACTGGCCATGATTTGAATGGGAAGAGGTAGACATCTCAAAAGCAGATCTATCAATCAACGTATAATTGTATAGCGCCTTTCCTACTCAAGGCAACACAAAGCATTAAACATTAAAATCTGCATATACATAAAAACACAAGAAATATTAAAAACAGAATAAAAACACAAGTAGTTAAAAACCTTAAAACATTAAAAACACACACAGGATTAAAATAATAAATAGCCACAATACACTAAAAAGAGTAAATATAAAATAAAATAAATATACAATCCTTCAGTTGTATGCACAGCAAAACAGAACCATTTTTAACCTGGATTTGAAAACTTCCAGAGTAGATGCCAGCCTCACATCTTCAGGAAGATTGTTCCAGATTTTAGCTGCATAAATCTGGAACGCTGCCTCCCCATGTTTAGTTCTGACTCTTGTAACCAGCAAGAGGCTACCTCCTGTGCTCCTCAGAGTCCGAGTTGGTTCATATGGCACCAACATGTCGCTTAAGTACTTTGGTGTGAGGCCATGGAGAGACTTGTACACAAGCAAGGCTGCCTTGAAGTCTATTCTCTGAGCCACAGGAAGCCAGCGCAGAGACCTGGACTAATGTGGTCGTACTTCCTGGTTCTAGTCAGGACTCAAGCTACTGCATTTTGAATGTACTGCAGCTGTTTTACAGCCTGTTTGGTGAGCCCAGTGAGCCGGCCATTACAGTAGTCTAACCTACTGGAGACAAATCCGTGGATTAGAATCTCCAGATCTGCTTTAGACACTATGTTTCTAATTTTGGCAATGTTTTTCAGATGGCAAAAAGCTGCTGAAGTTACCGATCTGTTGGATACAGTGAAGGACTGAGTCCACTGGTCCATGTTCTCCTGCAGTCAGTGAGACATAGATCTGAGTGTCATCAGCGTAGATGTGGTAGGATACATTGTTAGTTTGTATTAACTGACCTAATGGCAGCATGCAAATATTGAACAGAAGAGGCCCCAGGATTGACCCCTGTGGCCCTCCGCAGGTAAGGGCCATATAATTTGAGACACAGTTTCCTATCTCAACCAAGTATTTCCTGTCTTCTAGGTAAGACCTGAACCAACTTAGGGCGGACCCAGAGACACCCACCCAGTGCTCTAGTCTCTGTGTCGAACGCGGCACTCAGACCCAGCATGACTAAAACTGTAACTTTTCCTGTGTCGGTGTTAAGTCGGAGGTCAATTGTAACCTTTAGTAGAGCAGTCTCAGTGCTGTGATGGGCTCTAAAGCTGGACTGGAGCAAATCAAAAGAGTTAGCTACTAAAAATTCCGTAAGTTGTTGGAAAGCAACTTTTTCAATCATTTTTCCGATGAACGGTAGATTCGAAATGGGCCGGTGATTCTCAAGCACCGTGGGATCCAGACTCCTCTTTTTTAGGAGGGGTCTGATGACTGCCGTTTTCTGGGCCATTGGAAATGTTCCAGATGAAAAAGACATGTTTACTATTTGCGTGAGCGAAGGTAAAAGACTGCTCAGAAAAGACTTAAGAAATGTAGTGGGTAGTACATCCAGGCTACATGTGGAGGAACTCAGACTAGAGATAATCTCTTGGACAGTTTCATTACCTATTGGTGCAAAGTGCGATAGCTCAAGAAGCCTCACTGGCTGTTGTAATGTTATTTGTGTTGTGGAGGTGATGGGGATCTACAAAAATGTAGATCTGCAAACTTCCTTAATTAAGTAAGTAATCTTTATTTATGTAGCGACCAGAGTCACAAAGTGCTTTACAACTTTTTGGGCATTTGTCACTCAGAGATGGGAGTGAGGTTGCCAGTACAGGAGGGGCATACCAGACTTATTGAACATTGGTTTAGTGGTAGGGGAAACCGTAACACCCAGAAGAAACCTATGCAAGCACAGAGAGAACATGCAAACACCACTCAGAAAGGCCCTGTTACGACCGGGATTCGAACCCAGGCGACCTTCTTGCTGAGAAGTGAGAGTGCTAATTACTCAGCCACCACGCCGAAAAAAACGATTCTGTTTTCATTCATGTTAAAATGTGTTTGGACTCTTCTATCCACCCACCCATTCATCTCCAAGAAGATATTGTTGATTGATACCACTGCGCTGATTCCAAACATGTGGTTCAGTTCCATTTCCTTTAGGTCTTTTATCTTCTCCCCAGGGCTCAGCCGAGTAATCGTGTCTGTCAGTGCAAGTCTTTCTGCTGAGCTCTTCTTTCAGAGGGGACATAATCACTTCACATTTCCACAAAAAACTTGAGATGATCCCATGCTCCTGTCCCTGATCCTTGTCCCTGATCCCTGTCCCCACCTGTCGACCTGCTCCCTCAGGGTTTCCATGGGATCGTATTGTTGGAGCTGCTTCACTTGGTCCGTCTGTGAGGATTAGACTGGTCCTCTCTGTTCCTGAAGCCCTCAGTCACCACAGTCATACTCTGTAACTGCACACATAAGCACTACTTTACTTTCTTGTAACCATTGTTTGTTATTAAGGCATACATGGATCAGGGACGTGCAGTGAGGTTTGTGATTGGGGAGGCACTGACTTTAAACAGTCAGATTTACCATCATTATTCTATTAAAATAGCATTAAATCGTCAATGCAAAAACGTCCACAAACATTATATACTGTAAAGATAAGAGAACCAGCATATTATAAAAAATCCCACAACACGTCTAGATGCTGGCTCTCCGCTCCGCATCAAACCAAGTCTTTGCGGAGAGAGCGGAGGAGGGAGGGAGGGAGAGAGAGAGATGCAAGGAGTGAGAGATGCAAGGGGGGAGAAAGAGAGACGCTAGGAGAGAGAGTGACCCAAAGAGCGTGAGAGAGAGACGCAAGGAGCGAGAGATGCGAGGAGAGAGAGAAAGGGAGAGACGCTAGGAGAGAGAGAAACACAAGGAACACAAACAAGAATTAAACAAGTTGCAGAACTTATGAGCAGTGCTAAATCAGTGTTTTTCGGGGAAGCACTTTTATGCAGCTTCTCTAGTAACTCCTCCCCCGAGGCCGGACTAACGTCGTCAGTCCAGCGGTGGTACTTCAGTCTATATTACTTCTTGTTTTGATTGAAAGTCCAGTTGAGAAACACATCCTCAATCCAATCATCCATTTTCCAGCAGAAGAAATAGCACCGACAGGACTGATTGTTGGTTAGCAAAATATTTACAGTCTGTCAGCAACTCGGGTATAACTTCATGCTCACTATCACCCCTAGTGGTGAGGCACAGACAGTGCCTGCCTCACGCTAGGCTTTTCCAATGTGTATTCTTCTCCGATCAAAAGACTTCAAATAATTATATGCAGTACACACATAGGTGCAATACATTACTAAACACTATGACAAGTTAAACAAATGTTTTCATAGCAGGATGATGAAACAAAAAGGGATATATCAACAGCATGAGCTGAGTGCACTCGCACACACACACACACTGTGTGGGAGCGAGCGATCTGGGGGGAGTCAGGAGCTCTGCCTCACCTCGTCTCTTTGAATAGGAAAAATAGGATTTCAGCGATTTTGACTACAGAAATGATCAAAACTGTTCGGAAACAAGCCAAAAATACTTTATAAGCATAGGACAGTGGAAAACAATTATATATTTTGACTATATTAATAATTATTTTTTCAATGATGGCAGGTGAGGCTCTGCCTCCCTTGCCTCCCCTGAATGCACGTCACTGACATGGATATAATATAGGATTAATTTCAATCCCATTATTGTATCTCACACAATTATATTTTACCTGTTAGTCTCAGATTTGAAACCACAAAATCTATTTTGAACATAACTTCTGTTGTCCCATCAACAGAAGGGCTGTTTGAAATCACACCTATTACAGTCACAATTTGTTAGTATTTTTGTGAAATCAATACTAACAATACAGTACAGTATTTTGTTTGACATTTCAGGGGAGAAATATCTTGTTTTTTTTTAATTTAAGCTGAAACTGTTGAAAATTTTTCTTACAGATTGAATATGCCCTCTCATACAAAACATGTGTTCAAACATGCATGTCAAAGCTAAGCAGGGCAGAGCCAGC